ATGACTCAGAGCATAAGATCTTGAGTCAAGACAGACCAGGATTTGAATCTTGACTCATGTACCTTCCTGTTAGCTATGTGATTTGTGGGACCTCTTCACTCTCTGTGTGTATGTGTGAGTGTGAGTGTGTGTGTGTGTGTGTGTGTGTGTGTGTGTGTGTTGGTCCTGGGGCTTGAACTCAGGGCTTGAGCTTTTTTGCTCAAGGCTGATACTCTACGCACTTGAGTTACAGCTCCCTTTCTGGCTTTTTGCTGTTTATTTGGAGATGAGTTTCATGGACTTTGATGCTTAGGCTGGCTTCGAACCGTGATCCTCAATTCTCAGCCTACTTAGTAACTAGTATTACAGGCTTGGGCCATTGGCATCTGACTTTTGTTTTTTCTTAAATTAAGACTAGGACAATAATAGTACTTTCCTTGTTAGGGTATTAGGAGGATTTAATGCTAAATACAAAACCAAATGCAGGGCCTGGTATATATACAGTTACATAACCCCTTGCTGCTTTTAAAATAGTGACAGTGTGTGGCAGCATGAAGATAGAAATTGGAAACAATTGAACTGTCTGTTAATGGCAATTGATTAAAATGGATGGATTAGACGAATATGGATATAGGAAGATGTGTTCTAAGTATTGGTAGTAGGCAAAGAAGCCAGGTATAGAATGGATGCAGTAAAGGGTCAGAGGAGGGGCTCTGAAAGCAGCCAGGAATACCATCAGCTTCCACAAAGTGTTCCTGAGCGGTGAAGCAGAGATTATAGTGATCTGCTCGATCACTTTTGACCCATAAAATCTGAGTGTTTTTTATACCTTCCACTGTCCAAACCGATTAGTTTAGTTCTCAGACAGCTGAGTTCTATTGGGCCCTTGAGCAGGACCCTGAGCATCTCAGTCAGTGTACATTTCTGATAGAGCTGCTTCTGATTTCCCATGGGCAGCCCTGACCATTCTGCATGCTCTTTTCAGCACTTAGACCACTATAGTTATTCAATTTCTCAAAGTCTACTGGTTTGCTGATAAGTCCATGGATGACTGTGTTTGTTTTTCCAGGGTTCTCTCTGTTGTGTTTTAAATTCCATTTTGTACAGTAGTTCTTTGAAGCAGGCTATTCTGCTGTTTGTTTTTCCCCCTTTACTGTGTCTACTTAGTTAGGAGTTAGGGTAGTTGAGGGGTTTCTGTAGAAACTTCATGAGTCATTTTTAAGTGTCTTGTCCCAGTGCTGTAAAAATAGGGATGACACTCTGGTGATTTTAAAGGATTAAGGGAGGTGATGGCTGGAAACTGGAGGCTCCACTTAGCTTATACAAGGTTTCTTATTCCCACGCTGTCAGATGGGAGAAGTGACAGTCAGAGGTGTTTATAGTGGAGGCTGAGAAGAGAATTAATGATTTCTGTGGCCTCAGGGAGAACCCATCCTTCTGTAAGACCATTTTCTATGCCCAGCATATGTTGTCGCCTTGTGCAAAAAACTAGTACACCCTGTTGTCACTGTGTTTGATTTTGGTACCCTGCATCTTGTATATATACATTTATCTAATTTGGGGAGGGGAAGGAGAATAACAAAATGCTGAAACAAGGACACAGGATGACTCATGGCAATAATGATACTCACAGGACACTATGTTGGAAATGAACCTTACAACTTTGGGGGTGGGAAGGGATAGTGGGAGAAAAACAAAGGAGGGGGTAACAATGCATGACAAAAATTGTACTCATTACCTTACTGATGGAACTGTAACCACTCTGTACAGCATCTTTACAAGAAAATAAAATTTTAAAAAACTAGTACAATGGCACAGACTTACCTAGCTAAAAATAGTCATTTTCCTATGTGTTTGCCTGATATAAAGCTCTAGACGAAGCTATGTACTAACAGATATCTGTTTCACTGACAAGCCTCAAGAAAATGGGCATTTAAATGGCTAATAGAATTTGGCATAGATGGATGTACTAAGTTCTGAAGCATGTTAGAACCTGGGTCTGTGAGCCTCCCATCTGGCTGTGGCTCCTTCTAGCCAGATCCAGCTGTGGAGATAGCCTGTTAAGGGATGAATGAACCATGCTATGAATAAGAGACTTTTCTAGTTCACTGAGACTACATACCTTTCTGATGGCCCAACTCGTGTGTGTGTGTGTGTGTGTGTGTG